GCGGCTGCAGCGATCGCCTCAGTGGGATTGACTGCGGGGGAGCCCCCCCGGTCGGCAAGACTGGTCGGGGGGGGGAGGGCAGCACTTGCCGCAAGCCTTCCATTTTCCCACCTCCACCAGACTCTCAAGGCTGGAGCCCAGGGGAGTTAATGGCAGGAAGCTGCTCTCTGGCTCAGATTCATTCTCCCATTTTCAGGTTTCCTTTTCCTTATGTTCTTTCCCTGTGTTGTCTTCCTTTTCCTCTGACTTATGGGCTCTTTTATTTGTTCCACCTCCATTTCTTCTTGTTCGATTTCTTCTCTCTCCCACCCTTCTCCGTGTCTTGGTCTCTCTTGCTTCCCCCTCCTTTTCCTGTTTCTTCCTGAGCCCCCTCAATTTTAGATATTACACTCCCCGTTATCCTTTCCTCCCTCCTGCAGGGTCTCAGCCAACATTTCTAGTTCACTCTCGCCCTCCTCTTCCCCTCACTGTCCCTTTTTGATTCATGCTGTTCCTCAGGGGGTTTGACTTTGTTTACATAGGCTTTGGAACACCTGCAGAATAGGTGTCCCACCCCCCACAGCTACTGCATTTTAGGGACTCCTGGCACTCTGCAGATCTGTGTCCCTTCCTTTCACAGCTGCAACACACCATGAGGAGACAGTGTGCCAACAGGTGCACCTCCTTGCCACATTTGCTACATTGCTTTGGTTGCCCATTGTATATTATAAAACCCCAGTGGAATCCCAGTTGGATCACAGCTGGGAGGTGCTGCACCCTACCTGCATGCTTTCAACACAGCTTGTGCCCTCTATGACCCCGTCCAAAAACTGTATTTGTCCCACACCTTCTTTACATAAAAGTTCAAGGCACAAGGAAACATTGTTTTCTCTGCTGGGGCCCAGCCCACTGAAATATATGATAATCATGAGCCTTTTGGCTTTGGGCTAATGCCATACATAGTTTGTAGCATATATAAGTAGGTACAGAAGTGTTGCATAAAAGAGTGTTTATGGAGTACCTGTGCTAAAACTAGCAGTAGTTTCCAAAATGTAATATGTATCAATTCTGGATGAAGTTAAGTCTATGGGTACTATATGCAAATTACTGCAGGCATGTTTATTTCAAGGTCACTGTTTTCAAATTTGACCTCACTTCCACATGCTCAGGGAGAACAGGGTTTGATGATAAAAAGGGGGCAGGGGCTTCAGGGGGAAAAAGCTGGGGGGAGGATAATACATTTTTTTCCCTGCTGTAGAAGTGGGAGGTGGACAAATTCCAGGCCAGCTTCCAATAATTAGAGTCTGTCCCTGGAAAATTATAATGCATTATAAATTTTCCTTATATTCAGGGTGATCTTATCTTTGAGGAAATATGGTAACTAAATGGAGGCCCACTGCTATGAAAATCATAAGAGTTTATTCACAACTACTGAATGAAATGGAAAACATTTAACATTGCTTAGAAGGTGGGAGTTGGGACTGTTTCTGCTTATCAGTTTGCATGATGACTTTTGATCTCTTATGTCTCCTAGCTTTTGCAAGCCTCATTTGACCCTGTCATCTGTATATCCATCTGAATTCTTGATGCAGAAAATTACAGAAGATAACCAAATTCCAGTTTACCTTTCAGTCCCTCTGTCTCTTCAGTATGTGGCTGGGCTAAAGGGAAGTGCTATTATAGAATGTTTCCATAACAGCATTGCTGAGGTACTGTACAAAAATCAAAGGGACTCTTTCTAGGCACTTCTAAACTTTTAAAACTAAAAATGTATTTAAAAACCTTTCTTGACTGAAATTTAAGTCTAGAATTTAGTAGATACTACTAAATGTGGAAGCTGATAAAGCCTAAATCTTCCAACAGTTCCTATTTGGAGAAGCCCCATAGGAGTAAAAATGAGACATTTCAGAACTTGGTTTATCTACCAGGTTCTCAGGGCCTAAATTAGCTTCATGTTTGACTTAAATAATTTACTTTGAGAATGTAGCTCTTTTTTTCAGGAAGAGTAGAAGGGGAGGTTGCAGACAATTGGTTGGATGTCCATTATGATAAATTTGGCTAGCAACCCAACTAAAATAACCAGCTTAAAAATAGAATTAATCTTGTAGTTTAGAATGATCGGTCAAAATATGAACATCAGTTGAAAGGCTGTTTAAATCTATGGTGAACATCACATTTTTTGCTTTTTACTTGAAATCTTGTTTAATTATCTTCATCGAATAAAAAAAAATAGTGAATATTCAACAGATGTATTATGTATGCTAGCCTAAATATCGCAGGGAGTTAATGTAAAATTAGTAAACATTTTTTCTACTTAACAGCAACTTTTGTATGCCTTTCATGTTGCATTTTCATATTCATTAAAATGTTTTACAAAGTATATGTTACTCCTGTTTATACAACTGGGGCAGCTGACAAAAAAGTTAAGGGACTTGCACAGGGTTGCATAGCACACTTGTCAGAAGCTAGAATTGAAGGGAGCAACAGCTAAAATAGTAGCACCAAGACTAGCTTTGTTAGTCATGTTTCCTTCCTCTTTCATAAAGCTGTTTGAAATCAGGTACTTTCACGCTACATAAAGAGTTTATGTGCTTTTTGAGATCTGGCAGGCATTGTAACTTTCTAGAAGCCCTTAACAGTTTCTGGTGAACTCTATCAAACTAATAGTTAATGGTTTTGCAAGCTAGAAGGTAACAAAAATCTCGGCATTTACTTTATCCCATCTGTAAGAACGTTTTCAGTGGTCGCTGTATTTCTACTTAATGATTATGTTCCCACTGGATTCTGGTTAGGGGGTGGCATTGGATTGCCAGGAAAAGCAATTTCTGAAAACAACTTTTTGCAAGTCATAGGTGAAGAAAATGTATAGGCTTAAAACATGCAAGTTAATTAAGAAATACAATTGGTCTTGTAGGTGGAAAATGAAGAGCTGAGGCATCTTGTGTGGTCTTCTGTTTTATTTTATAAGACTCCTGACATAGAAGTGACAGCTTGTGTGCTGCTCTCAACAAAAGCAATTTACTTCCTGTTGGATGATTCTGTAATTCATGCTAGTGAGCAACAGTTGGGTAAGATATCTGTTAATTTTTGAATCTCTAATAAATTTGCATGTTAATGGGTAGGTCTCTCTCTGTTTTTAGTATCACACTTTGAATTCATGCAGTAGCTCTTATGTTATGTCTTGTTTTTTCCCTGGCTTACATATGGGACTTCTACCTTTCAGACAAATATTCCAAGTATTTTGCTCGCTTTTTTTCTCGGATAGCCTGTTCATGGTTCTCCTTATTGTTACTTCTTAGGCACCAGCACCTTTTCATTTGACGTGCCTGCCAGGGCTGTGTGAAAAGTCCGTAGAGTCATATTATGCCCTTAATTCATATGCGTAAGTCATAGGATATACCAGTAGATCTCACTGGATGTTTCACTGTAGCTCTGAGAATGTGACATGCTCCCAGTAATTACCAGTTTGGGGACAAGGAAAAGCAAGCTGCTTTTCATACCATACTATGTGGTAACTGCATGCTGGACTAAGAGTTCCTCATATGATTATTTTTAAAAGGAATGGAGCATAATATTTCTGCATGGATAATGAACAGTTTTATTCTGATAGACCAGGGGTTCTAAACCATTTTGAACTCAAAGCATCTCTCATTGGACTTAAGCTTTTATTAATTGAGCAGCACCCAATTAAAAAAACTAACATGTATTATAGTGCTTACTTCCTTGCAGAGGCCTGGCAGTAGGGATGGCAGATCATCTGGGCAGGGACAAGGCTGAGCCTGTGTTTATCTGCTCAGTTTATCTGCTTATCTTCTCACACCTCACTGCACCTTTCATAATATCTGGCAGCACCCCAGGATGCCCTGGCACCATGAGAGTCACTGTGATAGACACTTTTTTATGTTTCTCTTTGAAAGACAAAGAATTTACTAGTAATAGTTCACTGTAGACAAATTGGTCTATATGGTAGACAGTTTTCTTCTGATTTTAGTGGGACTTGCTTAGAGGTGCATCAGTCCATATCATATTGGCACCGATAAAAGGAAAATTGACATAATTGGCAATCACCTTTTTTTGGCTGATATGACTGATAATGTCCCCGATAAATGCCACGTGCATGGGTGCAGCAGAGCATGCATGCAGTCAGGAGTGCAGCCCAGCAGCTTGGAGAGCAGAGTCCCTAGTAAGTCTGTTGGATGGAAAGGAAGGAGTGATGGGGAGCAGATCAAGGCCCCCACAGTGAGGGAGGCACTGGGGCAGAGGCAAGTGCTGCCCAGCCAGGGTAGTCCCTAGTAAGTCTGTTGGATGGAAAGGAAGGAGTGATGGGGAGCAGATCAAGGCCCCCACAGTGAGGGAGGCACTGGGGCAGAGGCAAGTGCTGCCCAGCCAGGGTGGGTTGCAAGCGCAGGCTGTTCCTCTGCTGGGAAGAGCCTGGCACTGCCCCTGGCCCCAGCCCACAGCAGGCAGCCTGCTTTTGCCCCACCAACAAATACAGTGGATACATGCCCCCCATGCCTTCCCTGGGGGTGCATGCAGTGGCGGGAGCCACTCCCCACTTCCTCATGCCCCCTGGATGAGCTGATCGCAGCTCCACCCCTCCCTGCCCCAGCTGTGCAGCCCCTGCCCCAGCCCCATTCTGAGACCCCCCATGGTACATCCCTTCCCTCCCCCACTCCCCTTCCTCCTAACAGACTTACCAGCTGGATGCTGCTCTCCAAGCTGCCAGGCTGCATATGGGCAGTCAGATCATTATTGCCAGTATGGCTTGTCAATAATAGTCCATTGCTGTCGGTCCAAAAATCTTTATTGGTGCACCCTTGGACTTGCTTAATCATAGTTTCATAGTTTTAGGGTCGGAAGGGACCTAATAGATCTTCTAGCCCGACCCCCCGCCAGGGCGGGAGAACAACAAAAAACCCTAAAAACAAAAACGGGACTCAAATGAGTCCAGCCAGGTAGGCATCCAGCCTCTTCTTAAAGACCCCCAGGGTAGGGGCCAGCACCACCTCCCTTGGAAGTTGGTTCCAGCTCCTAGCCGCCCTAACTGTGAAGTAGTTTTTTCGGATGTCCAATCTGTACCTCCTCTCCATCAACTCGTGCCCATTACTCCTTGTTATGCCAGCGGGGGCTAGGGGAAACAGCGTCTCCCCCAAACCCTTCTGGTTCCCCCTAGTGAGTTTATAGACGGTCACCAGGTCCCCCCTCAGCCTTCTCTTGTGGAGGCTGAATAGGTTCAAGTCCCGCAGTCTCTCACTGTAGGGTCTGCCCTGTTGTCCCCGGATCATGCGGGTGGCCCTCCTCTGGACCCTCTCCATGTTGTCCACATCCCTCCTGAAATGGGGCGCACAGAACTGGACACAATACTCCAGCTGCGGCCTGACCAGCGTCGCATAGAGGGGGAGGATCACCTCCCTGGCTCTACTCGAGATGCACCTGTGGATGCACGACAAGGTCCGGTTAGCCCTGCCAACCATGACCTCGCATTGTCGGCCCATGTTCATCTTGGAGTCAATAATGACACCAAGATCCCTTTCCGCCTCCGTGCTCTCAAGTAGGGAGCTCCCCATCGTATAAGTGTGCTGCTGGTTCCTACTACCCAAGTGCAGCACCCTGCACTTGTCCGTATTGAAACACATCCTGTTCCTGTTTGCCCACCCCTGTAACCTATCCAGATCCTTCTGCAATCTCTCTCTCCCTGCTAGCGTGCTCACCTCCCCCCAAATTTTGGTGTCATCAGCGAATTTAAACAGGTTGCTTTCCACCCCAACATCAAGATCGCTGATGAAGAAATTGAACAGCGCAGGCCCCAGGACCGAGCCCTGGGGGACTCCACTACCCACCTCCCCCCAAGTCGAGTATGATCCATCCACCACCACCCTCTGAGTGCGACCCTTCAGCCAATCTGCAATCCATCTGACCGTGTAGGCATGTATGCCACAGTCGCCTAGTTTATTAATTAGGATGGGGTGAGAGACGGTGTCAAAGGCCTTGCTGAAGTCCAGAAAGACTACATCCACCGCGACACCTGCGTCCATGGCCTTTGTGACCTGATCATAAAAGGCAATCAGGTTGGTCTGACATGATCTCCCCCTAATAAATCCATGCTGATTGCCCCTGAGCTTGTTTCTCCCTGCAGCATTTTGTTCATCTTGTTTCAGCATTCATCTTGTTTCTCCCTGCAGCATTTCTCAGTTTAATTATGCATGTATGTTTTGGCCAGATTGTAGTTTGTGCTTCGAATTAGATGCGCGCTAATACATCAGTCCATATAGTTTCAGCACCAGTAAAAGGAAAATTGACATTATCGGCAATCTGCTTTTTTTGGCTGTTGTGGCTGATAATGTCACCAATAAATGCCACGTGCATGCAAGCAGTCACAGCATGTACATAGCCAGGAGTGCAGCCTGACAGCTTGGAGATCAGCGTCCGGCTGGTAAATCTGGGGGGGAGGGGCAGATTGAGGCCCCCCAGTGAGGGAGGGACTAGGGCTGGGGCAGGGGCAGGCAGGGCCCAGCCGGGCAGGCAGTGCCCAGCTGGGGTGGGGCATGGGACGGAGCCATGGGCAGCTCATCCAGGGGGCGCAGGGCGGGGGGTGGCTCCCTCCACTGCGTGCACCCCCAGGGGAGGCATGGGGGGCACATGTGACAGGCCAGTAGGAGGCACTTCTGTGCTGAGCCACCCGCCTCACTGCCCTACCAGGAACCACGCTTCAGGTGTCTCCCCTGGGGTACCTACATCTGGCCAACCCCCCCCCCGGAGCACACCCACAAACCTGGGGTAATTGTTGCCACCACCTGGGGTTTGGTCTTTGTTAGGGCTCTGTGCCACCCAGGGTACACAGACCCTGTGGACCTTGGGGTTGCTTAACCCACCGTGGTACTTTGGGGGGTACTTCTCAACCTGAAACATTCACAAATAGCCTCCCTTAGCCAGCCAAGCAAAAGGGAGCTAAAAAGGCTTGCCTCATCCCTCTCAAGTAGGTACAGCAAGGCTTGCTATAACACAGCTTTATTGATCGAAGAGGGTAGGCATGCAGAGGGTACAGGTCAGAGAAGTATCAAAAGAAAAACCCTGAGCAAATGGAAGCGGCTTGATAGCCTTTTGATACGCTTCTAGAACACTTGATCCTAAATTACTGGGTAAATTTCAGGTAGGTTACTTGCACGTTCATCCAGAGTCTAAAAGAGCTCCAGAGACTGTTTGCTTGTTTCCATGTTCCCAAAGATGTATGGCGCCTTCCTTATTGAGGGACCCTCTTATACACCTGTCATGTCTTCATCACTAAGTTCCCACCAGGGCTGTTCTCGGTCAGGGTGGCACAGGCGGTAGCAGCACTGGGAGAGGGGTTATGGGGGCTATAGTGAATTTTGGGGTGGCTATAGCCATAACTCCCCCTCCCAGTGCCACTGCTGCCTGGCACAACCACAGTCCCAGTCCAGCCCCCCCTGCTAGGAAGAGCCCAGCGCAACCCCTGGCCCCGAGTGCACAGCCGGCACCCTGCCCTCGCCCCACTCACAGATGTGTGGGGCACATTCCCCCCATGCCTCCCCTGGGGTGTACACAGTGGTGGATGCTGCCCCCCACCCCCCTGCACCCTCCAAACACACCACCTGCAGCGCCATATCACACCGTGCCCTACACTACCCCAGCTGGTCAGCTCCTGCCCCAGCCCCACTCCCTTCCCCACTATGGGGGGCCTCAATGTGGCCCCCACGCCCCTTCCCTTCCCCCCCAACAGACCAGCTTGACGCTGCTCTCCAAGCTGCTGGGCTGCATGTCAGCAATCGGATCAGTATCGGTCGATATGGCTGGTCAATAATCGGCCATTGGTATCAGCCCAAAAAATTTTATCTGTGCGCCCTTACTAAAAATAAGTTTTAAAGTCCTCACACCTTAGGAATGGCAGCTAGTGGCGGCTTCCTTAAATGTGAGATCTAAATCCTGCCTTTGAGAGTAACAGCCAATCAACATTCATTATAATCAACATGTTTATAAAATATTTCTTCAAACAGAAGGCATATTTCTTCAAACAGAAGACATATCTTTAAAAACAAAGTGTTTCTTACAAAATTTCCTATATATCAGATTTAATACAAAAAGTTTTTTACATGTACAATAGATGTCTTTATTTGATTATTTTTGTCTTTTTTCCCTTAAATTGAGAGCCAGAGAATGTTATCTTTAAAGGTGTCTTCCTTGAAGGGATGCAGTAAGCATTTCTTCTTTGAAGGGATGCAGTAAGCATTCTTCCCTTTGTGTCTTATATTATGTATTCCTTTCCATTCATTAGGCTTTTGGAACCAAAAAAACTCAGATTATGAAAATAGCTCTTTTCACCTCTCATGTTGCTTGGTACTAAAACTTAATGATCTGCAATCAGTAAATGTTGGACTTTTTGATCAGTACTTCAGGATTACTGGTAAGTACATTTCATGCTTTACAGGTATTGTAGAATGGTCTGGTCTTAGGTAAACTCTTGTCTTTACTTTGTTCTTGATATGTAGGATCATATTATCTTGCTGCCTCTTTGTGTTTAATTTAATTTGCTTTTACATTAATTTCACACTGGTTATGCCATATAAATAATCACAGCTGAGAAGTCAAACCATTTGAAGTGATATAAAAATGTTTCCCCCTATTTTGGGGTTTGAAATTTTACACTTGCACTCTGACTAGGTTAATTTGAATGTAAGGAATGACTTAAAATCACTTGAGTTGGTCTTGAATGGTGGGGTGGAAGGCAGAAATAAACTTTCTTCAATTAACTGTTTTGTATCTGATAAATATTTATTTGCCTTTAAGCGTGCACATTATAGCATGTCAAAGGACTAAGTGTTCAGTTAATGAACACAGTGTACCGTGTATGTTTAGGATTTTTCTTTAATTTGTGCATATGAGTGGATTAATGAAGTGAAACTTCAGGATAATCGGGGTGTCATGCTGGTATTAGAATTTGTATTTGTAAGTTTCATCACTAGTGCTTCTGTAATTACATATGTAGGCAGTAATACATGAACTGGTGGGATTTGGTGGTGCTGGACAGCTGGAAATTGTGCCTATGCTGCAGCTGGGGGCTTGGGGAGAAGTGGTAAAAGTGACTAGGGCTGCATACAAATGTTCAGTTCTAGCTGTGGCAAATTTCCACTGCTAGAAATGATTTCAAGAGGGGGAGCAGTATAGATGTTCAGTCTGCAACTGCCCTTATGCTCATTGTGCCTTCCCCAGACTAGGGTGATCTTTCCATTCCCAGAGGGACTGTAGCATTGGGGTGAAATCCCCACCTGACTCTCTCAAATCAGGGACTCCTGCGTGAGAAGCAAGCAGGGAACTGCAACTCCCATTGCTAGGCTTCTTGACATCAGGAGCCAAGTGGAGGGAACAATACAGCAAAGCCCCTGACTGCCTCTCACACCGGGAACTCCTATATGAAAGGTAGGCCGGAGCTTTGTCATGCTGCTCTCTCTGCTCAGCTGCTAGGCATCAGAAATCAGTGCAAAGTGGCACAGCTGCCTGCTTGCTTCAGAGTTCCCATTGTGAGACAGTGACAGGGGCTTTGTCCTGCTGCTCCCTCTGCTCAGGCCTTGATACTGGGAGCTGAGCAAAGGGAGTGGAGCTCCCCCTGCCTTCTTCCCCTTGTCCCTCTCCACTTCCCCCTCCCACTTCCATCCCCAGCGGCAGTGCCGCTGAGCACCAGGGGTGATGATTTAAAAGCTGGTGGGGGCAGGAGACAGGCTTGGGGAAAACCTCCAGGGGGTGGAGGCTGCAAGGCAAGCAGGTAGGGGGCAGTGCCTGCTCCCTGAGAGCTCCTGGGATTTCTGGAGTGAGGAGCAGGTGGGGAACAGCTGGCAGTTGCTCCTTCCCTACCAGTTTGTGGGAGGGGTGGGAGCCAGCTGCCCCTTGTGGCTTCTCCAGACCAGTGTAACCCTGGTCTCTGAAATGCATGGGAGTTGTTCTTGCTGCTCCATTCCTGTTGCCTTGGAGGAGTTAAACCAGAGGAAATTGTGGGGACGTTTGGTCTCCCAGGAGAACCTTTTTTGGGAGTGTTTTCTACCTGGCTGTTGCCGAGTTATTTTTTTTCCTCAGAGCAATTATATTGCTCCAGGAGAAAATGCCTGAATGTCTGCACATTTTTGGTTTCTACCAAGAGAATACCAATTCTCCCAGTAGAAACTGAACATCTGTGTGGCCTAGGTTAGAACACTGCCCCACCTCAGACCTGAGCTGGGTTGTTCTAACCCATGCCCCCAGAAGGTTGCCAACTGCTGATTTACAGCAGTGTTCCCCTTGCCAAGAGTCTAATTCTTCCATGTGGAAAGTTGTGTGGTCTCACTTTCCCTA